AGAGAGAGAGAGGATGAGAGATGATAGAGAGAGGAGAGAGAGAGAGAGAGAGAGAGAGCGGAGAGAGCGGAGATGGAGAGGAGAGAGAGAGAGAGAGAGAGGAGAGAGGGAGGGAGGGAGAAGGCGAAAGAACAGTAGAGCGATAAAGAACAATATAGAGCGATAGAGAGCGATAAAGCGATAGTGAGCGATAGAGCGAGGGCGAGAAAGCGACGGTGAGAGAACGAGAGAGCGAAAGAGAGGTGTAAACCATCACCTGACATGTAATATCCCAATCATAAGTCGTCGCATTGCAGCTATTGCGAGTGCCATGAGCCATCATCAGCGAAACTGCGTAACTTACCATTCTGCTTTTCGTGGAAAAGCAAAAGGTTTTCAGAGTTCTCCGTTTCAGTTTTGGCAGTCCGATGACGTCGGTTGGCGTACTTCCGCGCGGTCTACCCTTGTTCTTGGTGATCTTGACAGGTTCCTTCAGATGTTCCAGTTCGGCGACATGCCCCAGTCGCCTCTGCATGCCTCGATCTGTGATGCAGACAGAACCAGCTCCAAAAGAGACCTGTTCGGAACCGCCAGCGAAAGGGACCTGGCGGCCCTCCTCGGCCTCACCATTGCTAGAACTTCCTGGGGAGAAAACGGAGCGCGCCTCTAGCCACACCCTGCCTGGAGCTGTCTGCGGAGGAGACGGGGCGGGTATCTCCAGCTGCGCTCTGGCTAGAAGGTCCTGAGGAGACGGAGCGCGCTTCTGTAGCCACACCCTACCTGGAGCTGCCTGCGCAGGAGGCGGGGCGGGTATCCCCAGCTGCGCTCTGGCTAGAAGGTCCTGAGGAGAAGACATCTACAGCCACGCCTTGATCTGGAGCAGAGTCTGAAGGTTGTGACTCCAAGACAGTCCGGCATCACGACAGTCAGACATCAAGGGCAGACTGAGTTCGGGGGAAGGGCAAAAAAGTGGAAAATAACAAAAGTACCCCCCAGAGCATAAGGTAACAAACAGGGGTGGGTACAGAGAGGGGGGACACGGGGCATGCCCCCCTCCCCGGGCCATGAAAGGTCCCATTGGCTCCGAGGGGCCGACAGCCGGCCGAGCAGGTGCAATTTTTTAACACAAAACGCAACAAAACTGGGTATCTCTGGACTTTCAGGCGACCAAGAACAATTGTAAGCGAAAGTGGAGGGTTAAGAGAAGTTCCAAAAATAACTCAATGATTGGAAAAGTTGTGAACTGGAAATTTTAAGCCCTATTACACCGTCTAGGGCCCCACGCTGTTTTCGGGGACTTATATGCCACTTGCAGGTTCATTTCGGTCGCTTGGTAGTATTCCACGTTGTTTTTCATTTCTTTGCCTTTGCTCCGAGGGCCCTGCGCTGTTGTTGGGGCCCTTCCTTTTAGCGTGCCGGGGAACCTTTGTCAATCGCGGACTCTTCCACAGATTAGTTCCATTCGCCAGAAAGGCTCTGTGAGCGGTAGCCCGGGTCCCGTACCTTAACCTGCCGGGGTTTCTCGGTTGCCCAGAGGCCCTTTACTTGGGTATCGGTTAACCCACCGACACACTTGCGATGTGCCCATGGGTCCTCTACGTTGGTCTAGGGCGTTTCCAATTATCTGTAACTTGCTTAAGGCCTTACACTCTTATCGGGGGCCCATCTAATGGCCTGCTTGGGCACGCTCAGTCGTTTGGGGACCGTCTACACCAGGTTTTTGGTACTTCTTTTCTGAATGGGGGGCCTACGCTTCTGTGGGGGGGGGGGGGAGGGCTATCTGATAACCCGCTCGGGCACATTCGATCGTTCGGGGGGGGGGGGGGGGGGGCTCTGTATTGGGCCTTAGGCACATGCTATTTGAATGGGTCCCGACGCAATTGTCGGGGGGCCCCCCTCTGTTCGTCTCCTTGCCCACACTGGATTGCTGGTGGGCCCTACACATCGGTTCTCAGTGTTTGAATTTAGGGCCCTATGCCTGCATCGGGGTCATCTGATAACCTGTTCAGGTACACTCAATCTTTCGCGGCCCTCCGCATGGGGTTTTAGGTATTTCTTATTTGAACGGAGGGCCTTAAGCTCCTGTCGGGGTCCCCATCTGATAAGATGCTCGGGCCCATTAGATCTTGGGGGACCTCCACGTCCGGTTTTGGATACTCCCTTCTCTAATGGAGTGTCCTCCGCTCTTTCTGGGGGCCCTATCTGTTGACCTGCTGTGGCGCACTCGGTTACTCGGGCCCTTCTACATCGTGCCGTGGGTAATCCACATTTGAACAGAAAGTCCTACGCTCTTGCCAGAGCCCCATCTGTTAACCTGCTCGGGTACACTCGAATATCCGGGGGCCCTCCGCATTGTGTCTCGGGTACTTCCTATCTGAATGGAGGGGCCTACGCACTTGTCGGGGGCCCCATCTGTTCGCCGGTTTGGCAACATTGGATTGTTCGAGGGTCCCAAATATTGGGTCTTGGTGTTTGAATTTAGTGCCCTACACTCCTGTCTGGGTCATCTGATAATCCGCTCGGGTATACTCCAATTTTTGCAGGGCCATCCGCACTGGGTTTTGAGTACTTCTTATTTCAATGAAGGGCTCTGCGCTCTTGTCGGGCTCCTTCTGGTACGCTACTCGGGCACATTGCATCACTCTGGGGCCACTTACTTAAGATCTTCAGTGCTTCCCATTCGGGTGGACGGCCTTACGCTCTTGTTGGAAGCCCTATTTGCTAACCTGCTCTGGCACACTCGAGCATTCGGGGGCCCTCTACATTGGGTCTTGGGTGTTTCCTTCTTGAATGGAGGGCCCTACGCTTTTGACTGGGCCCTACATGTTTGCTTGCTTTGATAGACTAGATCATTCAAGGGTCCTCTGCATTGGGTCTTGAATACGTCCTATTTGAATGGAGGGTGCTACGCTCTTTTTGGGAGCCTTATCTGTTAACCTGCTCGGGCACACTCGATCATTCAGGGGCCCTTTACTTTGGGTCAACATGTACTCTGTCCCACGGTGTGTCTGGGTACCTCCATGGTTGACAGGGCACTTAAGGCGC